GATGTTCGTAAAGCAATCTCAAACCTGAAATCTGGGAAAGCGCCAGGGCTAGACGGTATCACGAACAAAATGATAAAGAAGCTAGCTCCTGCGATTTCTTTTCCACTTAGCCGCCTATTTAACCTCTCCTTTACAATAGGCAAGTTCCCTACTGACTGGAAACTGGCTAAAATTGTGCCTATTTACAAGTGCAAAGGCAGCAAATCCCAAGCTAGTAACTACCGCCCAATTTACCTCCTGTCCTGTATTTCCAAACTTTGCGAATGGCTCTTCTTCAATCAATTATATAATCATATTTCTCCTGCTCTGGATCCCGCGCAATCTGGGTTTCGTCGTGGTGACTCGACCGCTCTACAGCTCACCAAGCTGATCCAAAACAATGCCGACCATCGTCATATGGGGCGGAAAGTTGCCATGTGCTTTTTCGACCTCGAGAAAGCTTTCGACACCGTGTGGCACCGTGCATTACTTGCTAAACTTTCCAAAGTTTTCGGTGTGTGTGGCGCAGCGCTGGAGTGGATTACAGACTACCTATCCGACAGAACGCAAGTTGTCTTTACAGGTGGACTTCTCTCAGATGCTTCACCTGTTCTGTCCGGAGTGCCCCAGGGATCCATCCTAGGACCTCTCCTTTTCCTAGTGTATATTAATGATCTTCCCAGTCATGTTGAAGGTGTGCCCTTATTTGCTGACGATACTGCACTGCTCCGGTTCAATGAGTGTCTAGACAGGCTGCGAGACAGTCTCCAGCGCGGTATCAACGAAGTCCATCAGTGGATGACTACCTGGAGACTAAGACCTATTATCGCCAAGACTGAGATATTATTCCTGCCGAACTCAGAGCCAACCTATGCATTCACTCTTCCCGGATCCCTCACAGACCTCACAGTGGTAAAACAACACAAGCATCTTGGTTTGGTCATTGACTCAGACTTATCGTTTAGTAGACATGTCGACTATATCTGTAGCAAAGTCAGTAAAGCTGTTGGCTACCTCGTATCTCACTGCTCCCACCTACCGCTTGAATGCATTCGCCTTTTTTATCATTGCTAATTATTCTCCCCATTTTTCTCTATTGCTGAACCGCCTGGTTAACCCTACTAAGTAAATCGTTAATAAGTACCCTGGAAGTGCACAATAAGAGGATACGCAAAATCCTTTTCCGCAAACCATCATACTTTCCTTCTAACGGATCGAAAACTGTGTATTGTTGTTCATTCTATTCGTCTTGACAAAGCCCCGCCACTCTTGCGTAAATATTACTGGTTTCTTCCCACTCGTCCTACGCGCAATCCCTGCACTTTACCTAAAGCCCGAACATCAGCTTATACCAGATCTCCGTTTTTCGCTGCCTATTCTCTCTGGCTAGCCCTGCCTCTATCAGTAAAATCGTCTTGTACGCTAAATGATTTCAAGGCCAACATGAAGCTCGTGTTCTGCTAATTCTTCATCCATATTTGTTTGTTTTGCCTCCAGTAATGTGTAATTATTTTTTGCTTTGTTTTTGTTTACTGCCATGGCTGGCTACCGCCCCCTCCCTCCATATTGGCCTATATTCTCTGGCCACGGGAAGGTGAAATAAAAAATAAAAATAATAATTGGTCATATTAATATTTGTAGTTTGCGAAATAAGCTTTTCGTGTTGTCCAAGCTTGTCCGGGTCCATAACTTAGACATTTTAGCAGTATCAGAAACATGGCTCGACAACAGCATCTCGGACTCAGAAGTCGACATCCTGGGGTTCTCAATGCACCGTCTCGACAGAAAGTGCAATTACAACTGCTCCTGTACAAATGGAACACCTTGCCAGAAACGCGGCGGTGTAGTGATTTACAGCAGGTTGCAACTTGGGTTTAAGCGGATGTTGATTCAGCACATCGACCTGGAAATGGTTTGGTTGCGTTCCAAAAAACGAAAAGCAAGTGAATCATTCCTCATTGGCTGTCTCTACAGGCCACCGTCCGCACCGGCGGCTTTTTGGCAATCTTTACAGCAAGTCATGTATGACATTCAGGGCGAAGATCTCATTCTGATGGGCGACTTAAATGTTGATTTCTTGTCCCCTCAAACGCATCATTTTGACAATTTGAACACATACCTGCTACTTCCCCTTGATCTGAAGAATATGATTACGCACCCTACACGGATTACACCTACATCTAAAACAATCTCGACTGTGTACTAACGAACATGGATTGTGTTGAGCACGGAAGCGTTCACTCCTGTGAGTTCACCGATCATGAGTTTGTTCACACCAGCATTATTTTTCCGAAGTCAATTCCAACACAAGGACAATTATATCGATCCCACCGCCGTGATTACAGTAAGGCCTCTGTCTCTGATCTTTCTCATTTATTGTCAATTTCTGATCTCGGATCCTTCTCGTCCCCGTAGGTCGATGTAATGCTAGAAGAGTGGCAAGGAAAATTTGAAGACGCCTTGGATGTGGTTGCACCCTACATAACATCACGGAGACAATCCCCTGGAAAAAGGAAGAAGTGCCCATTCATGACACCGGAATTACTAGCTCTCATTAGGCGACGTAAAACCGTCTACAGAAAGTACCGCTCGTCTGACTGCAGTAGTACAGTTCTACAGAAGGAGTTCAAAGTTTTGCGCAGCAAATGCAATAACCTTTATCACCAACTCCGAAATGCCCACTTCCGCTCCATCTGTGACGATTACCGGCGAGACCCTAGGCGTCTTTGGAGCACCATCAACTCAGTCACCCGGCGCACAAACCCAAGAACTGAGCCTCTCGTCCAGACAGATACCTTGAACTGGTATTTCCATAGTATTGTGTTAGATCCGAACCCGGCTTATGTTGCTCCAAGTGGTACCTCAAGACCGTGTGAATTGCACGAGTTTCGCCCTATTTCTGAGGATGAGGTACTTCGGCGCCTTCAGAAACTCGATGGTACGAAAGCGCCTGGGCCAGATGGTCTCCTCCCGAGAATCCTGAAGGCCGTTGCACCAGTTATCGCCTTCTCCCTCACCCTAATATTTAATACCTCTTTGTGCACTGCTGTGTTCCCGACACAATTCAAGTTGGCTAATGTCACGCCGATATTGAAATCCCGTATGGGCGATCCTACTTCTCCTTCGAACTATCGTCCTGTGTCACTCACGTCGATTCTGGCTAAGACTCTGGAGCGCCTGGTTCTAAATCAGGTATGTGACAGTTTGACCATCGAAAATCACCTCCACGATCACCAATTTGGGTTCCGACCAGCTCGTTCCACGACACAACTGCTCACACTTGCTGTAAATGATTGGAAACTGGCCCAGGACGGCGGTGAGACTACCAGTGTAGCCTTTGTCGACCTCAGCAAGGCGTTTGATCGCGTCCAGCATCAACAGTTTCTCGTTGCACTCCATGGCATGGGTGTGCATGCAAGCGCCCTGCGTTGGTTTGCGTCGTACCTCGCCGAGAGATCTCAGCGTGTCGTCACGCAAGCCAGCCAGTCTTTCTGTCCTTTTCAAGTAAATCGGCTCTTGTTTGGAATTATTTGCCAGACGACCTGAAGTCCTGCACTACTATCGCAGATTTCCGCGTCAAATTGGCTATTTGGCTAAAAGACAGCTTAACTCTTAATCATTGTTGTGATTTGCTTTCAAGCAATGTGCATAATCAGTAAATTGATGTTGCTGTTTTTGTTTTGGTTTTTGGTTTTCCGTTCTTGGGGCCTTCTATTCGGTACTCTTTGTAGTTGTACTTCTGTACTGTTGAGCTATCCGAATTCAAATAAATACTAAAAAAAAGAAAGAAAAAGAGAATTACGGGTTGAAAACCCTTACAATGCGCGCAGGTCTAAAACCTGTGCATGTACGTGTGATAGACATGTACATGCACAGCGTTTAGACTTGCGCCTGCTAGTATTGTACGGGGTTTGTAGGGGTTTCAACCGATTGGCGCTCTCAAATCGCTCCTCCGTTTGAGGGTCTCCGAAGCCTACACCCGTCACAAGACACCCAAGAAGAAGCGCTCGCGTGATGTGGTGGAGCACGCCTCGTCTGTCCAGGTATTACTATTAGACGTGGTTCTGCATTTTACCGTTCACGTTATTATCGACGGTCGGCCTGCACCGTTTTTTGTGTGTGTCTATAACAGACTGTATGAGCAAGTGCGCGTCAGCTCTATGCAAGAAATGATTATTTGCTGCGTTGCTAGCGGAGAAGATGGGTGAGTCGTCCCTCACCATGGCATTATACAATGTCGTCTCCGGATGCCGTCTAACCTTAAAGCGATAATACGGGCAAGTGATTATGTGTGTGCGTGGTAGCCGATCCATGTATTCTGCCCATGCCCTTTTCTCGTCGTCTGCCGACGTAACCGCTGTGGAGGTATCCATTGTGGCAGACTTAGACTGAATACCACAATGTACAATGTACATGTACGCTGTACGTGAGAATGTTGTTGATTCCTCATCGTGTTCAGGTTTTTCTGTTATTTGTCCCAGCCTTTTTGATATTTTTGAAGCTGCTTTATTCTTTTTCCCTCAGTAGAAAGATTCCAATGTGTACATGTACATGTAGCTGCACGTTGGTCTAGTTTCAATCACAGATTGTCGTTGTTTTTGGGATATATTTGAATTCAATATCCTTTGTTGTACTGGGTTTGCATATTCTTTTACCAATGTTGTTGTCTTGCATATCCTTCATGGTGTGCTAATTGTGTGCGTAAAAAAGGCTCATGAGTCATGGTGCGAAGCATGGTCAAGTTACGAGTAGATGTGCACAGAACGTGCATGCGCATGTCCATGTGTTTCGCGCACTGTGCGCAGGAATTAATTAGAACTGTGGTCACAATAAGCACAGTTACATGTACATGTATTTGCATGCGAAAAGTAGAATTGAGTGAGAAGTAATTTCGAGGCATCTTGTAGCTTTATACGTTACAAGTACAGTTGCGTGGACAGTGGACACACCCATTCCCAAAGCACTGGAAGAACAGTTGCGTGGACAGTGGACACACCCATTCCCAAAGCACTGGAAGAACAGTTGCGTGGACAGTGGACACACCCATTCCCAAAGCACTGGAAAGGACCGAGCCAATTCAAAAACGTACAATGTTTCGGCACTATTGCCATCGTCACTAATTCGTCAGGTACTAATGAAAAGAAGAAAAGTAGACGAAAGAGTGCATGAAGAAATGAGGGTTTGTGTACTATGAGTAATGGATATACATGTAAGTGAGAAGCAAGGGCAAAGAATGTACAGCACGTTACACTATTCTAGTCCTTGGGCATTCCCAACAGGCCCTAAGGTCTTCTTACAGGGTACCCAAGGTAAATGAATGTGTTTCAAGTTCCTGACGAAATGAATTGGGGATATGATAAGTGCGAAGGGATTCGAGTAGTGCGTTAAAGCGGTCAGAGCCAAAGAATGACATAGATTTGTATCCAGCTTGAGTGTGCACAATGGGTAAAAAAAGGTAATTATCGGCTTGGCCTCGCGTAACTCTATATGTGTGAGCGCAGTCACAGCGAAGAGGGAACATCACAGAGAGTGGAGACAATTACGGGGACTGTGACAATAATTATACTGATAAAGTGAAAAAGTAAATTATCGTGTCCGTTCCCGGAGAATAATAAACGCTGATAGGGTGTCGCAAACTTTGCTTATTTTATATTTTATTTCTAATATAATTATTTTATCACAGTGCACGTACCTGAGGAAGAAGGGGAAACAAAGGGAAAGCAAAAACGAAAAGCAAACGATCAAAAAATGGGGATGTAGGCTCTACATGAGCTGCGTGCGCTGTATGAGATGGTAATGCTTTATAGTTATAGTTATGCTACACAAACTGAAAGGCACACAATGAAAACCTTGGGCAAATTCCGATGTGACGCAGAGTTTCATGGCTGAACCAATCATCAGACAGACACACCGCCTCTGTGCAATTGATACTAATCGCAAATTGACATGCTCGCAAGTACATTGTACGATTACATGTTGCTGTTTGAATACGCCCTCTACCTGCGAAAACAAGGTGAACGAGTTGTGGTAAAAAGAAATCGAAACATTCTCAGAACCTTGCACTACACGTCGGGCTTGTTCTACAGTTCTCTCCCGCGCATTTCTTGTACAGGCTGTCGGGATGGTTGCGTGCAACCAGCGAGTTCCATCTCCACGATCCTCGCTAGCACAGACATACATGTAGATGTCGCTATGTTTATCTCAGTGCTGGGACTACAGGAAGGTCAAAATCTGGCCGTGAAGTCGAACCACAAAGCGTTGTACATGCATGACACATTTCAGTGGGGGAAAGGAATGTATTTTGGCAAATGAGGTGTTATCTTCATTGCCAAAAGAATAACATTTACATCAAGTAAAACAAGGTTGACGTTTACGAGGGTGACGATTGTTGCCCAACATACACACATGACTGTACTAGTACAGTAGTAGATAAAATTTAACACATGATTGTACATGACTTGTTGTATAATGATTTTATAGGCTGAACATGTATGTGCAGTAAGCAGCATGGAAAGAGTGCGGATAGACGAATGCTCCTAAGTAGTGGTGTCCAACATTACTCAGCAACACAGATACATGATTGTGTCATGTATGCATGAGCACAGACACATGACACATGACTGCATGTACATGTATGCATGAGCACAGTCACATGACTGCATGTACATGTATGCATGAGCACAGTCACATGACATATGACTGCATTGCACATGTGTCAAGTACATGTAAGTGCAGGCTGCAAGCGCAATCACAACGCCAGCACATCGGTGCAAAGTGAAATCCGGCTCCGCGACTAGATGGGGTGATGTATAAAATCCAGTGGTTGGAGCTATTGTACTCTCATGGGGTCGTATTTCATTCCCGACCACTGCGCAAGACGTGCGAGTAAGACGAAGTCTCGTCACTACGCTCAGGCTAAGTCCAGCTTCTGTCTTTCCAGGTCAGTGACAATATCCTGAAAGGTGGGCCTCTCCGTAGGCGACGACTTCATGCAACGCTCGGCCAAACGGCAATAAGCATAGGGTAGGCCCAGAGGCATGGCGCCAGGAGGTTCCCCCTCAGTTATTTGATCTAAGATGGCTTCAGTGGACTCCAGGTCGGCGTAGGGCAACTGCCTACTGGCCAGTTCGTACAGCACCACACCAAAGCTGCAGCGCAAGCCAGTAGAGGGCCAGGAGGACAAGAAGGAGGAACGCGTGTACATGTGCACAGACAAAACACGTCATGCGTAGACAGACAGACAGATACTAGTAGTTAGGTCGAGAGACAGGCAAACAAACACACACATCGCCGAAGGTTCGATTGCACAAAAAAACATGTTGATAATATAAGGTTGTGCTGGGATTGCACCATACAACAGCACACCATACAATAGCACACCATACAACAGCACACCATTCCACAGCACACCATTCCACAGCACACCATTCCACAGCACACCATACAACAGCACACCATACAACAGCACACCATTCCACAGCACACCATACAACAGCACACCATACAACAGCACACCATACAACAGCACACCATACAACAGCACACCATACAACAGCACACCATACAACAGCACACAATTCCACAGCACACCATTCCACAGCACACCATTCCACAGCACACCATTCCACAGCACACCATTCCACAGCACACCATTCCACAGCACACCATTCCACAGCACACCATTCCACAGCACACCATTCCACAGCACACCATTCCACAGCACACCATTCCACAGCACACCATTCCACAGCTTGCAAGGCTGATGACATCTCTCTTTCTCTCTTCCTCTTTGGCTCTCTCTCTCCCCTAACTCATCTGTTTCTCTCTCTTTGTCTGGGCCACCACCACAACCACCGCCACAGTCGCCGCTGGCAACTGCAACTGCAACTGCAACAGCAACAGCAACAGCAACAGCAGCAACAGCAACAGCAGCAACAACAACAACAAACAGCAACAGCAACAACACGCAACAACAGCAACAACAACAACAACAACAACAACAACAACAACAACAACAACAACAACAACAACAACAACAACAACAACAACAACAACAACAACAACAACAACAACAACAACAACAACAACAACAACAACAACAACAACAACAACAACAACAACAACAACAACAACAACAACAACAACAACAACAACAACAACAACAACAACAACAACAACAACAACAACAACAACAACAACAACAACAACAACAACAACAACAACAACAACAACAACAAACAACAACAACAACAACAACAACAACAACAACAACAACAACAACAACAACAACAACAACAACAACAACAACAACAACAACAACAACAACAACAACAACAACAACAACAACAACAACAACAACAACAACAACAACAACAACAACAACAACAACAACAACAACAACAACAACAACAACAACAACAACAACAACAACAACAACAACAACAACAACAACAACAACAACAACAACAACAACAACAACAACAACAACAACAACAACAACAACAACAACAACAACAACAACAACAACAACAACAACAACAACAACAACAACAACAACAACAACAACAACAACAACAACAACAACAACAACAACAACAACAACAACAACAACAACAACAACAACAACAACAACAACAACAACAACAACAACAACAACAACAACAACAACAACAACAACAACAACAACAACAACAACAACAACAACAACAACAACAATACATACTTACATGGATATGAATTACTCACCTGTACACATCACCCTTGGTGGTGCGTTGGTTCTTCGTTATCGACTCTGGCGATCTCCAGCGATCCGTTCCTGTACCTGTTGTCATTTGACGCACGCGATGGTTATCTGGCTGAATGCATGCGACCTGATGTCTCGACTGCGCCCTTGAACTGCGGCCCTGTAGCAAGCGTTGAGTCTCGCCCGACGCCTCAACGTCCTGCTGTTCTTCTTGTTGGTCTTGGTCACGTGGTGGAGCAGCATTGTCCATACTGCCGTACTGTGTGGATTGGCGGGGCTGGTCAGTGTTGGCTAGGAATTCCTCAAGAAGTCGTGCAGTCTCCAGATCACCAACCTTAACCACCCATTTCTCACTAACAAGCAAGTTGCTGCTCTTGATATCGCGATGCACACGCGGGTACTCCAGCCCATGCAGGTACGCCATGCCGCGAGCAGCATCCAGTGCGAATCGCACGCGATCGCTCTGCTCGATCCTTTCGCTGTTGTCCTGCAGGATCCTGGCAAGTGAGCCTCGGACCAAGTATTCCATGACCAGGAACGGCCGACGACTGGTTGTATCCATGCCGGCTCCAAGGAACATGACGATGTTGGGATGACGCAAAGAACGTAGCGTCTCTGCTTCTCGCACGAAAATATCACAGGGCGATTCTTGCTGCAGGCTTATGGATTGCTTGCTGGTGGCCGTGAACTTCTTGACCACGACATCCAGGTCAGTCCATTTTGCCCGGTAGAGAACTGAAGATCTTGACCGTGCGAGTTCACACTGGTCGATGACCAGGTCGGACCACTTGATTGTTGCTCCCTCGTTCACATTAGCAAGCTTTCGATTCGATTGGGCCAAAGCGCGGCCGAGCTGTTGACGCTCCTCTTCCGTGCGACGCAGTATCCGTCGTTTGCGTATGTACTGCACGAGTGCCGTGGCTAGTAGGGTGGTGAGAGTGGACGAACCCGTTGCAGCCAACACGTAGAGGTAGACGAGGGGCAGGCGGCAGTTATCGTCCGGCAAATAGCCGAAGTTGCATTTGCAGTAGGCCTGAGCGTTGCTACGTACCAGGCACACGCCGTTGCCATGACAGAATCGCGTGTAACATGGATCGTAGGCAGTGCAGTTGCTGGATCCTGTACCAACAGTGGTAAGTAGAACACCACATTGCACGCACGGTGACAACACATCGGGTGAGAAGTAGCCTTGCGGGCACGGCTGACACGTGTTGTTGCGGCTCCGCTCGTAACCTTTAGGACAGGCTCCACTGTAGCTGAGAGCGAGAAAATTGGATCGCTGATTGCCATCCTGCGGAGGAACTAGTCCGGAGAATAGGTAGCTGCCAACAGTGCGATGACCAAACAGGGATATATTGAAGAAGGGCACTGTTTCAACTGTACTGTTTGTGTAGGTAAGCTTGACGCCATCCTGCTCCCACAGAGAAGGGGGCAGACGGAGTAGGAGTGCATCCTGCGCAAACTCGATAGCACTCTGTCCCGGAGCCAGTCCGTACCTTCCACCCAACAGTAGCAGATCGCTATTCGTGTATTGCGTCAGAGTGTGCGATATCCGTCGTCGCATGGGCTTTGCGAGGTGAACACGTGACACGCCGATGTGATCCAGGCTGTGCAGAGTTAGGACGGTGAGGAATGAATCAAAGTCCCAATCGTCTTCCTGGTCGTGTGCTTGCCGAGGGGTATGGTCATGTTGCGGTGTGCATTGACCAACTTCTCCTCCAAAGAGGATTATCCTACCAGTGAATTGCGTCAGCGAGTGGAGTGTACGGCATGGTAGTGGACTACCGACTGCCTTGGCTGTCAGATCGTACCAGCGGCCTGTACACTCCAGCAGCTCCGACCAAGCAAAGAACCACAGATCTCCGACAATACCAGTCACAGCCCCATCACCGGGTGACGGCACCTGACCACCTTGGATGACGAATCCCGTCGCGTTACGGCCGAACGAGTGAGCGAATGCCACGTGACCATGACGTGCCTCCGGACCTATGGCGTCATAAGTCGGACTCACCGTCGACTCCATCCATGTTTCGTGATACATATCGTAGCACCAGGGCGAAGCGTCCATGTGAAAATCATTGTTGTTTTCGTACTCTTTACCGCCGTAGAGAATTGCGAAGTAGCGATTACTGACGACCGTGTGTCCTTGTCTCAGAGGCAATCTGGGACCAGGATGAGGATGTGACAACGTGTAAGGGAACACGGCCGTCATGAACGGATTAGTCAATGTACTTAGTATCCAAATGGGCATTCCTGGAGGTCGCAAGCCGTCTCCAATCTGCGCTCGAAATTGTTGAAATGGGCATTGACCGCCGAAGATCATGATAGTGCGGCCTCCAGTCATACCTAGAACAGCTGAACCTACACATCCCTGAAAGCCGCTGAAGCCTGGGCGCTCGATCTCCGAGGACAGTGGTCGCAGGATGGGCGTTATGCTTGAAGGCTGGGATGCAGTGACGGACAGGGTGACTTCGTACGACTCTTCGCGATCAGTGCGGACAAGATAGAATGCCCGTGATCCGGCCACTAGCTCGTACCAGTCTCCGATCGTGTTAGGATTAGCAGCCGTCAGAGTTTCGTTAGTGCATTGCACATGATGGTCCTCGAGGCGCAAGTTGCAGATCACCAGATACACGTTTTTAGTGCGAGGATCTGTGCGTGTGATGAGAATCTGAGATGCCGATGAGAGATAAGCAGCTTTGGACCAGGACAGGGCACTCAACACTTCACTAGTCAGTAGTCGCAAGTTCTCGCAGGCAAAATTACTACTGAGAGCTGTCCACTGCCGAGAGAGAAAGTCGAACGCCCAGAAGTCGCATCGCAGCACAAACGAAGTCTGATCTCTTTGCACACCGCCGTAAAGTAAGAGATGTGAATCCGTGCCGAACAGGTGCGAGCCAGCCCTCGGACCAGGCGTGACTGCCGAAGCCGACGACCGCACGTCCACTTCCCGCCATGACAGCATCACGTTGGGCCTGGCCAGATCCATATCAAGCAGCCACACACCGGAGCTGAAATTGAAGCAGGCGTCGACTTGCCCCGAATCGCACTGCGACCCGCCATATGACGCTATACGGAAAGAGTCTGGAGAGGGACCTGGCAGGCTAGTCATCCCGGGACGAAGCGCCCTCGGTGCCCTGACCAAGCTCGTATTGACGGACAGCAGGAGTTTTTCCCGGAGACGATAGACTAGAACTAGGTCTTCACACGGTCCTCTCGGAAAGTCCAGCAGTACGAGATACTCCTGACTTGGAGATACTGTTATGCGCTCTGGAAGGCCAAACAGGCCCATGCAGCCATCAGGAAATCCTTTCACCGTGTGTAACAGGAACGACTCGAGATTCTGCCAAGTCTGCCCACCTCTGTATGACACGTCGAAGGAATCCAGCCTAAGCGCGGTAGGACCAGCCACGCGGATTGCGGAGATCAACGTTTCCCCGTCCGCCAGTCCGCTGCTCCCATTGTTGGCTGCGCCGCGACGTGCTCGCAATGTGAGCGCCGGGATCAGGAGCGGCAAGCCAGGAACACCGGGGTGCTCGGAGACGGGCTGCGGGAGGTAGCGCAGAGCCGTGTTTGCGCTGAGAGGCTTAGCTATGGCACTAGTGTTAAGGAAGGGACATTGGTCTGCCGCACAGGGCTCAACATGCACCTCCAAGATGAGCAGCAAGACTAACAGGTTGAGCACCTGGTGCATTATGGACACTGCCATGTATGGAGGACTGCGGGTCACTCTGAAACCCTGAGATAATGTGGAACAGTGTGAACGAGTAGTAGACCACCAGAATACACTGTAGTTCCACTGTCAGCACCAACTACTGCACTAGTGGCAGTAGGGCACTACAATGGAAGCTTCGGTGATGATCAAAAGATGATTGTCAGTGTAGATGAATGCTTGGGCAGCATGCAGCAAATGTCGACGGCAGCAGGTGATACTGATGGACAACTCAACACAGGCTAACTACACGAACTTGCCAACAAATTCAACACTCACTAACTGCAGCCTCAGATGAAAGAATTCTCTGAGCATGCTTACTACGCGGACTTGCCCCAATATACACATAGAGCTTACACGTCGTTGCATATAAGACGTACCTGTAGGATCCGGATGTTGAGATACAGGCCGTGACAAATTGCACTAGCTGGGAGTGGGGCCAGCCCAGGCAGGTAACACAACAACTCTATGACGAACGAAAGGTCTCAAAAGTCAACCTTGCTGTTCCTCCTCTAACGTCACTCTTCTTCTGGTGTGCTATTTGTTGCACTGGTGTTCTAATGTATCATTACACTCTGCTTGCTCTATACCGGCGGCACGGAGGTCTTTCTCTTCTGTCATACACAGAACACCTCTGCACACACCACTACTATTACATGTACTAAACTTAGTACAGTAGTTCGGTGCAGCTGAGTGAAATCCGATCAGGTGCGCTTTGCACACTATCACAGGTCAGTGTTCGCAGGTGTAGGACGGCACGGCGCTCGGCGCGCACTCGACCCCCTCAGTTCGGATTCTATTTGAGCGGCACTGGAGCTAGCCCACTGGGCATGCAGTTTGTTTCGCAGCCAAGCACACTGCTCAGAACCCTCCATGTAGTCCACAACATAGTAAAAAGAAGTAAATTATCGTGACCGTTCCCGAAGGCAACTCACGACGGCCGCTAACACCCGGTAAACCCTGTAGTCCACAACATAGTCAAGTCAGTAAAGCGGATTGTGGATTGCCGCTAGTACAGGATTCAAGTCGGATGGTCACGCCTGATCGATCTGACACAATATTCACGTATCCGCCAGTGGCTGTATACGACGTTCATGCTCTAGCGACAACAGGATTTGGATACTGGACACAGCCTGATCAAGCAATGGAGGAGAGATTGCCGAGGTCGAAGATACCTTAAAGTAAAGTTCGCCGGATTTGCGGCCGCATCACCTGACGTGTTTAGGAACATATCAAGCAAAGACATTCGCATCGGCGGGCCACCACATCCCCCATATACTATCCTCAGTGTCCAATGCAGACTGGGTGCCATGGCCTTACATGAAGGTGCTAACGAGCAAATCAGTAAGGATGCGGTTACTTCCGGTGTCTATATTTATACTCTCTCCTCGGCTCTCGGATGAGCTAAGCCATACGGTGGGTCAGACACATGTCAGAATAATCAACGGACAAAATCAGTAAACTGTTTTGTGTGTGTGTGTGTGTGTGTGTGTGTGTGTGTGTGTGTGTGTGTGTGTGTGTGTGTGTGTGTGTGTGTGTTGGTAGATTTACTTCAAAATATGTGCAACAACAAATGACAAATGTGGTAGATTTACGTGTGTATTTCCATTTGTGTGTGTATGCCCGTGTGTTTATGTGTGTGTGTGAGTGTGTGTGTGTGTGCATGTGTCCACCGACACTAGTAACAAGTTGACAAAAAACATCAGGTTTACTGGGATAGGGCTAAATGAAGATGGAGTCCGGCGCGGATACCCTGATCTCGTCAATCTTTTTTTATGCACCCATTCCTCACCCGCTTGCTGATGTGTGGTGAGCCTAGAAGTGGGATCCTTTCCAAGTCTAAAAAGAATTTGGTGAGTTCAGGGGTGGCGGCCGCTGGGCAGTTCAATAGCCAATTCAGTCATCTTTCCAAGATTCCTTTTGAGTCGCTCTCCTCTTTTCCGCGGAGACCAACGTGAGCGTTTTTGGCACTGAGTATTACAAGTACATGCGTTGTCATGCGTTTGCGTGCGTGTATGTGTGTTCGTGCGTGTGTGTTTGTGTGTGTATGTGTGTGTGTGTGTGTGTGGTATGTATATGCGTGCACAATGTCAATCACCATCAATATCGGCTCCATTCCAACCCCCGGCCACAGCTTGTAACATTACCCGTGGCCCTGTGAGTCTTACCACGCAACTGAACACGTGGAGTGAAATCAATGGATAACGGCATGCTGCAGTGTCGACGAGCAACAAAGCTTCATCAGGACAAGTTAGTTGTCTCTGTCATCATGCTTTAGCCCCCTGGCCTTAGTAACATAGTTCCATCTTTTTAGATAGCGGATTTTGTTTTCTTAGTACTAAAAGCCACATGACAATCGGATGCAGAACATGTGTGATGGTACACAACGTCACACTGGAGTATGGTGACTAGGCATGATTGCTTGGCCAATGAGGGTGTGAAGGTCCGTGCCAAGTCATCCGTGTCTTTGCCTTCCTTCAAGAGCCTATATTCTGCATCAGGACACTCAGATCCAGACCACGGAAATATACATGATGCACAAGGAGGTGGTCGTCTTTGCGCTGATCAATGGCTTAGAGACATGCATGAGAGACCAGGCCGCCCAGCAGGATATAACATAAGTATAAAATAAGAGCATGCAGCTCAGGGATCACTAGCTGTATACTGAAAAGAAGAAGGTCTCAATCAGCACCAACCCTTGCGATCAGATGCCGCTGCATTGCCGCTGAATGACATAGGTAGGGCGCAGAGAGAGAGAGAGAGAGAGAGAGAGAGAGAGAGAGAGAGAGAGAGAGAGAGAGAGAGAGAGAGAGAGAGAGAGAGAGAGAGAGAGAGAGAGAGAGAGAGAGAGAGAGAGAGAGAGAGAGAGAGAGAGAGAGAGAGAGAGAGAGAGAGAGAGAGAGAGAGAGAGAGAGAGAGAGAGAGAGAGAGAGAGAGAGAGAGAGAGAGAGAGAGAGAGAGAGAGAGAGAGAGAGAGAGAGAGAGAGAGAGAGAGAGAGAGAGAGAGAGAGAGAGAGAGAGAGAGAGAGAGAGAGAGAGAGAGAGAGAGAGAGAGAGGAGAGAGAGAGAGAGAGAGAGAGGGAGAGAGAGAGAGAGAGAGAGAGACAGACAGACAGACAGACAGAGAGACAGAGAGAGACACAGAGACAGAGACAGAGACAGAGAGTAAGAGAGAGAGAATAGAAAGAGAGGGAGGGAGGCAGATAGACAGACAGACAGACAAAGATGGGGAGATAGATAGAGGATAGAGGTAAATAGATCTAGATAGATACGTCCCTTAGGTCCCTCAGTCCTTTGTTGATAGATACATAGATACATAGATAGGGAGAGGGAGAGGGGGAGGGAGAGGGAGAAAGTACCAACGCACATGGCCGATTGGTTTGCAGGCCTGCCTGCGAATCATGAGGTCCCGAGTTCAAGACCCGCGCTGGTAGCAGGGAGCGTGTAAAAAGACTTTTTACGCGTGTTGAACTGCGCCGACACCCACGGTCAACTGGGTACTCACAGCTCGGAGTGAGAATAACAAGGATGCAGTTTACAGGGTTATGGGCCGTTACACGCCCGATTGGTTGAGAGACTAACCTCCTCTCCCCTGACTCACTTGTGAGGTCTGCATTCGCCACTAAGGTTAACAGGCATAGTGGTGGCCTGCGGATGCGAAGGCTAGTTTGGGTGTTTCTGAACATTCAAGCGATGCCGACGCGGATCCCGCGAATAAGAAGAAGAGATAGCTAGTAGTATTTTTTATGATTATCAGGACAACATTCAAGAGCGATCAAAGAACACACGACTGGCGTTAGGAGAAGTCTAAACCTCCCCTAGCATAATGATGGTCAGAACCGGGTTCAACACCCATATGGTTCAGATGGTCCCAATGGACCGGGGCTCTTCCAACCGTGGATGGTTGTAGTAAGGTCACTGTTTCCGAACACAGTGTTCTCCACCTTGTTTCATGCTGTCAAACCACCAACATGTGTGAACTATAACAACTGGTTTATCTAGTGCAGCTGGTACTCGACTGATAGTGGATTATCTAATGTACAATCATGTACAGGTACATGTACATGTACATGCAAGTACAAGACACATCTGAAATCCATATGAATTACTAGTACTCAATCTGTGGACAGAACTGTTTCGTCCTTTGTGGACTCAATAGGCCCTGGCGGATAATGCCGGCAGAATTTCGAGCAGAATATGGGTTATTTTAGAAAAGGGGCAGAATGAGCGGAATTCGGCAGAAAAGTGCAGAAGAAGGAGCAGATATACTCTGCAGAACCAGCTACGAAGTGCAGAGAGGGCTGCTGGCGGCTATTTACGGCTCCATTAGAGAGGTTAAGTTACACGTTTTTTGCCCTTTTTCAAAACGCGGTGCAAATCTCACGTTACGTGTAATTTTTAGAGGTTAAGTTACACGTGCGACGTGACGTGAAATTTTGCCTGGCAGGATTCGGGTTTAGTTCGCACAAATATCAAATCTTCCAACAAACTAGATAAAACTAGATAAAACTCGATAAAATTCCGGAAACTCACACAAATTCGGTCGGAATAACCAAGCGAAACTTCCAAAAACTCACGTCATGAACGAACGTGCGGGACAGTCAACTCACGTAAAACACGTCAAATTTTACGTGAGTTTTTTCACTTTTTGACGTAAAAGTTCACGGACGTAAGACTTTTACGTGAAACTTAACCTCTCTATTGTGTTCACAATCACGTGAGAATCCGGAAGAATACGAGCAGAATGGGGCAGAATACGAGCAGAATGTCGAGCAGAAAACGCTACTTTTCCGAGCATTATCCACCAGGGCCTAGAAATCATCAGCGCAGCGCAGAGGAAACGAGGCCGACCCTGATAGAAATGAAAAATAAAATTTCCATAGCCAGATTTAAACCAGGCCCGAACGTACCTTGCCAGAGTGCTCAAACGTGAACTGTGCATAGCATTACTACTACTATTGTAGTACTGTAGCGTTAGCACGCTGGGGACTTCAAAGCGTATAGTGATTAGAGTATAGCATATCCCCGTACTGTATCCCCGTAAATTAGCGTACGGAGTCTGCCTTTGTATCAAAGCTGCTGCGCACGATTCTTTTATAGCCAGTTAGTTAATTTAGTTGCCAGTTAGTTAATTCCATTGCAAGTTAATTTCGTTTCCAGTAAGTACATTTCAATTGCCAATTACAGTGTGTTCACTGAGACCCTTGAGCGTTCTTGCCTCCGAGAGACTGCGGCCCGCTACAAATTGGTGGCAGCGGTGGGATTCGAACCCACGCCTCCGGAGAGACTGGAGTATCCCTGCCCGACCAATACGGAAGCAGTACGGAACTAATACGGAGCTTTGCCTGATGTATATTTAGTGTATCTCCGTATGTAAGCGTACGGCGTCTGCTGCATAAAAGCGGCTGCGCATTTCTGTTTTGATGAAGATGAGATTTTGATAATAACGAGCTATTCAACCTCCAGGTGTGCACCGGAGAGAAAGTCAGTTATTTTGCCGCTTCTTCTTTCACTAATAATTATATCTCAGGTGTGTACCTGAAAGAAGTAGAATAAAAGTAATTCTTGTTGATTTCACCGCGCCTACCACTCGGCTACCCATTACAGTACTACTACTGAACTTCGCCTTTATTTGAAAACAAACCGGGTATCAGAAAGAAGAAACTGAAAAGCGCAAGTAAGAAAGGCAATGGTGACAAAACCATTCAAGAAATTAGCAAAAATCAAATCAAATAAATAGGAAAATCCTATCAGAAAATAAAATAAAAGAATCAAGCCAACTAGGGAATACAAAAACAAAGAGCAAACCCGCAAACACCATCCAAGCATCGCTACTACCCCAACCGCTTAAACGCTTTTAAAACGAAAACAAAATTAATACAACAGAACACTCTGAGACAGAAT